CAGCTGTAGGTAAACATTCAGGGATGGAAATTATCATCTGGTAACGTTTCCCTAAGGGCCTGAGTCCATTCCACAAGGATCATGGATTCATGGACTGTTTTTTGTTTTTTTTTTGCCATGGGAAGCAGGTAAAATCTCTTTGCCTGCAGGATACCCTTTGTACCTCTCTGCTCTTGCTCCAAGCTGGTGCTTGTGCTAAAACAGACATGTATTCAAAGGTACTTTCTTCATATAGAAATTCTTTGTATTGAATTCCTATAATTGTCATTTCTGCTTTGGCCACCAATCAAATGGGGGAAAACTGCAACTCCAAGGGACTCTCTCATGAATGTTACTGCCATAACCACCACGAATTGAAAGCAACACAGGCTTGCTTTAACCAAAGAGTTTCCTTCCCCCTTTCTCCCAGTTTGGGAGATGACAAACGAGCAAGTGCAGGCAGGGACATGGCAGTTGCTGCAGGGACACTTTCTGTCTGTATATCCAGTTCTTCTCCCTGTCCTGCAGGAAGATTTCATGGCTCAGGTGCTGTTCTGATGCACGGCCAGAAAATCTCCATGCTGGGGCCTGCAGCCATCATGAAGCAACAAACGCTTGTCCTGTGCACGTTCATTGTGCAATGAGTTCATTGTCAAGGATTTATAGTTGTCATTTTCTGTTGCACAATATGAAATGGAGAGAGAAAGAGGAGGGTGCGGCACGTAAAAGGACGTGACAGAGTTAGAGTCCTTGTTGGGGGAGCTTTTTCACCTTGTTTTCTTATGCCATTGACAAGTAGCTTGGCTTTGGCTCTTGATTCAATAGCCAATGGCTTTTTTAAATCAAAACTGATTTTTTCCACTCGAAACTAGTGACTTGCTTTAAGTTTAAAACACTTTCCAAGTGTTGGTTTTTGTAAAATTTCCTTTTTGTACTGAAAGATATTTAGTGTGAAAGACATGTTAGTAGCAGCTGTTGGGTAGGAGTCTCCTCTTTTAGGAGAACTTTTAAAGATGAGATGAATGTACTTACATAGATTGCAGCACAAAACAGTTGTTGAAGAATGTGAACAGACTGCAGAAATGATTGGAATTGGGCAGAATCAGGCAGGCACGCTTTCCTCTATCCATGGCCTTTCTCTCTTCCTTTTGAATTCAATTTTGCAAGAAAACTCAATTTTCATTTGGCAGATGAAGATATTTCACAGCTTCCAGTAATAGAAAACATAATCACCCGACCACATTTAGAAGCTGGAGCTCTGCTGTTCAGATTTGCAGCTCAAAACACTATCCATATCCAGATTATTAGATAGTTTCATATTATAATTGGAGGAGTCATGCAAACCATAGCAGTGTTGCAGCTGGGCAGAGGTCTGTACTGCTTGTACCTGCAATCCCAGGCATTCAGCAGCCCCAGAATTCTCAATATATTTCTGTTGTATTTATGCTATTTAAGAAGCTTTGCTGCAACTCAATTAAGTAGTATTACACAAGCAAGGGCTGCTGGTTTAAGTAAAGTATCATAGTTAATAGCTCAAATTGAGTCTATTCAGTTCACAGTATCTGAAGAGTTACTATATTTTTAATGCACATGGGGTAGCCCGTGTATATACATGAATAATGAGGTTCAGGAAGCAGGAAACAGTCCCCTGCCATAATAAACTCCCCAATAAACAACGTGTGCCTTAAACTAGATAGCTGATCGTTTCAGCCTGCACCAAGGTATGCAATTCCTCAAGCTCACCTGTGCAAAACTTAATGGCTTTAATTATTGCAGGTCATACAATCTTCCGGAAAGCACAAAAAGTAGGGAGAAAGCAAATTCCTTGCTAGGAAACCTTGGAGCAGAAAGAACCTTCTGGGATCCATAGGTTGCCATTTGTAAAAAGTTGAAAAGAAAAATTTCAAATGAACAAAAAAACCCACAATCAAACTCCCCTGAAGTGTAACCTTAAGGGTAACTCGTTTGTCCAGTTCATTCACTTCCTATTCCTTGGATCATGCTTCGAATAATTTCCATGATCTGTTTCTTAATAAGTCCTGCCCTTTTTGATGTCATCGATTTGATCCTTAAAGGCTGGACAGCTCCCAGCAGATGTTCAGTTAGGAAGGAAATCCGAAAGCTGCGGACCAGGACGCGGCTTTGCCTGAGGATAACGCTGGACCCGGGCTCGGAGGCTGCTCTGAGCGTCCCGACAGAGATAGACTTTCTGCCAAGGTACAGGAGGGGCGTTTTGGCACTGGGTCTGAGTTATTTTAAGGTATATTTCTATAGATACATGTGATTGATATGTAGAGATTTACATGTACGTGTTTAAGTATTGGGCTACATGATGCACGTAGGGTTTAGTGTTTGCTGAGCACTGAGCTGGTGAGATACCACAGCTGAGACTATGCATGGACATATACTGTGAGACACTGCCATATAGGTGACACTCTGATAACCTGCAACCTCCTGGGGCACTTACAGCCAGGATTGGTAAACATTTGCTGTTATATATTGCTAAGTAACCACCTGCAATTGCTGTGTTAAATAAATGCAGTGCTAGGCTGACTTGGGAAACTGTGAGAGAGAAAGAGAGGAGATTCTGTTGCCTGCACGAGCACTTTGGAGGATTCCCTATATTCTTGTACATTGTCTTATAGATTTTTTGGGGCAGTTATGTTAAGAATGCAGAGTTCAGTGGTATGAACTAACCAGCCATAGGCTCAGGAGGCAAGTCAGAACTTCTAGAAACTGAGGGTGAAGGATTTGGATGTTCCCAGGTGCTTTCTTAGACTCTGCAGACTTGTTCATTGCTCTTGAGGTAAAGGGAAAACAGGTGAATGTCATTTTGGTTAAACACAGGATTTACCTTAAAAACCAAATCTGACTAGATTATATAAAAAATCATCGTGTAAAAATTGAGCCATCAAGTGCTATGGATTCATTTCTAGAGTTTGCCACAGGTGGCCTTTTTTTGCAGAAGCAGCATTAGATGCAAACCTACAGCTGCAAGGTCAGCTCCTAAAAGCTGTAGTCAGTGGTTCACAGTACTGTGGCTTGATGGCATCTGCATGGAAATTAGAGTTTAACTATATATTATCAATGCAGGAAGCAGTGCTTCCTGGTAGCAGAATGGGATTGTCTAATTCCCATTTCTTTATCACAGTTTTAGCTGTTGAAGCCTTCATTTTATATATTTTACATGTTATTTTAGCTGGACTTCCTGTACTTATGATTATAACTGTCTGTACTTATAATTTTGACTCTTCAAAGCTGTATCTTGAAGAGTGAAAAATAAGTTGTTGTATTTAATTACGAAAGGTTTATATAGGTTTAGTAAGATTTTGAGGGCAAAAACCTTCCATCAGGCAGGTTCCCTTGGCAGATAACGTGCTTTGTGAGCTGTTTCTCGTAAAGCTGTGCAGCTTTTTGGGAAATCCTCACCGCCCGAGGATTATTCTTGGTCTTACTGTTATCAGTAGGTGCCTGCAAGGGGTTGTGCTAACGGCTCTAACTCCTTTATGATACCGTTTCATCCAAAGTGTCTTAGTCCAAGGACCCTTGAGATAAGAGCAGGTGTCAGCGAGGAGGGCGGTCACTGGGGATGGGGCTGCTGCAGGGTAGGCAGCTAATGTGTCTCGATGCAGAAACTTTCGTGTTACAGCAACATTTGAGTGGTTTTTGTGTGCTCGTGACCTCAGCTTTGGACTGTTATGGAATCCCTATGATTTATCTTGAGTTAAGGCTGGCCCAAAGTGGTGTCCTCAAACTCTCCCGTCAAGAGAATGATTCACGGATGCTGCAACGTTGGGAATTCTCACGGCTTTGTGTCACGGTTCAGCCGGTGACACACGGTTATTCCAATGTCCTAAGCCGATACTAAAGCCAAAGAAGATGGCCTCGACCCTTGCTGGTTAAAATCTACGAGGATACACATTTCTCATTCTTTTTCTCAGCATGAAGTCCAAAATTATCTCGAGTAGCTTAATGGATAATGCACTTACCCTGGGAAAGGAGATGTGGTTTTGATTTCCAGTTATGACAGTCCTTGTGGGTGATTTTTTTCCATTTCTTCAGGAAATTCTTCAGCTTCATTTTCATTTCTACAAAACAGAGATAAGGATAGAACCCCCCTTGTAAAAACAGCTTGCAGATCTCTGGAGTCAACTACTTATGAATAAGATAGGTGGCAAAATTTCTTCCAGTAGCAGAAATGAATATTCTTGTGGTCTTCTAAAACATCCCAAGGATGTTTTGTTGCAAGTAATAGCCACAGTTTGGTTAATTGCATTTTAGCACTGAAAATTCCCTCTGTGGTTTCAATTACTCCACTTCCTTCTCAATGTACTTTGCTCTGCTCACTTGGACTGTAAAACACCTCCTGTGTTTCATCTTGGAAGTGGCCACATTGCGGGAATGGCCAAAATTATTCCTGGACACTTCCATTCAGCAAAACAAATTGTCACACAACAAGTATTGTTAAACACAGATCCTAATTTGCCCCTTTCACATGCTTTAAAGTGGGATTCATCCTCCAGGTCTTTCACGTCAGGATGAAACTGTACTACTAATGCTAAGAATTGCTTTTTTCATGGCTGCTAGCCCAGCATCTGTTTTACTAGCCAAATACTCATATGAATGAATAAATAGATGGTGATACCACATTTCAGAATTAAATGTTGGTCTGTAGTAACCACAGGAAGGGAGAAGAAAACTACACATCCCTTTAGGTGCAGGCTTTGGTAGCACATGCATTAGTCATTTTAACTTTACATACATACCCATCCTGGCCTGGGTATCGCAGTATGAGGGCAGCAGAGTCACTTAGGCAGAACATGGGACTTCTCTGCTACTTCCTGGTGTCCAAACTGTGGAAACACAGGATGGGTGTCAGCTCAAAGTTATTTTCAGCTTTTGTAAATAGTGAACTCATCAGGGCCCTGCTTCCATAGAAAGAGCATGGCCAGTCTTGCAAACTAACAACTCCCCTTGCCTTTTTATTTTATTTTATTTTTCATCGGAAACAGGCTTAGAGGATGGAGCAGGAAGTGGCAAGAGAGGAAGAGGAGAAAAAAGAAGGTTTGATTGAGTTTTATGACTCCTTCAAGGATATGTTTGAGTTCTTCTGCAAGAACACAACCATCCACGGCACCATCCGCCTCGTGTGCTCCGACAGCAACCGCATGAAAACAGCGTTTTGGACTCTGCTTTTGCTGGCCAGCTTTGGCATGTTGTACTGGCAGTTTGCACTTATGTTCAGCCAGTACTGGGCCTACCCTGCTGTCCTGACCATGTCGATGCATTCTGAGCCCAAGATGTTTCCAGCAATAACTATCTGCAATCTGGACCCATACAGGTAATCTGACCTTCCCTGGAGGTCTTTAGGGTTAAAAAGGGTTCAGAAAAGGTCAGCAATGTTATTGTGGGACTTCACACGGGAGGACGTTGAAATGATTTGCTGTTAGTCCAGGCAGGGGGAGGACAGCAGGTGCCTCAGACAGGTATGGAGAGGGTCTGTGCTTCCAAAACGGTTTTGAGATTTTGTGCTCTGATAAAACCCATCTTCCCCTGAATATGCAGCTGCCACATATATTCATTCCTAGCTAAACTGGAACAAGACATTGGAAGAAACCAAGTTGCAGCTAAATGCATGAAACATGAATATTCCAAAACAGCTAATATTTCTGTTCCTTACAGATTTGAACTGGTCAGTGACCATTTGGTTCAACTGGACCAAATGGCAGAAGAATCTATTGCTTTTTTATACGGCATCAACACATCAGCCAGCCTATTCCATGTGAACGAGAAGAACATCCAAGCAAAAGACTTGTCAAGTTCAGGCAATCTCAGCAGATCCAGCTTCAAACTGAGCCAGAACTTCTCACTCTTGAGAATGCCTGACCACAATAACAGGTCAGGAAAGAAATATTCCAAGGTGGGCTTCAAACTGGTAAGTGTAAGACCAGCGTTACGTTGCCTCTTGTACATTTTACTCTACCCACACTTGACATCATCAGGATGCAGCACAGGCTCCTTAAGACCCAGCAGTTGAGAGCAAACGTGGTAACACACAGACACAGGCTTTAATAGCTGAACAGATCAGTGCAGGGGATTCAGACAGACAGTTTCAGTGCTGGGTAACAGCATCTTGGAGGATCCCTACCTTTTACATCTTATGCTGATTGCCAGGACTCTTGTAAAGAGAAGCAACAGCAGTGTCATTAGGCTTACATAATTCATCAACTTGTGAAGTCCTTCTTGCAATAACAAATTAATTAGAAAAAAATAACAGCAGGCTGTGGGGGCTATTTTACCCCTTTCTAAAAATGCACAGAGTATCTACCCTTAGCATGTGAGCCCAGAAATAACAGAGAAAGAAGAGTCTAAACTCACCTCAGGACTTCCTCAGTGCTCAAAAGAGGTGGCTTGGAGGGAACTAGAAATGTTGCAGATGAAGCCAAAGGTGATGTAACAAATCCAGAGCAATACAATAAAGGCGGGTCTATGTGGATAAGAACGCCCTAAAATCTTCATCTGAAAACCAGAGGTAGCCCAGGCCTAAGAGCAGAAGGGAGTGGGACTGAGGTGGCTTTAGCCAACCATTTGTGCCTGATTCTCCTCACGGTGCCTGTGCTGAACTCCTTCCCCGTGGGCACTTTCACCAGGGTGTGGGTGTTCCCGTGGCCAAGGCCTGAGTAAGAACAAAGGAAGCAGATCAGGACTCGGTCCCTCCTTCACGGGTTGGGGAGAATTCCCACCAGCCCAGCTTCCTTCTTGCAGGGTTTTGCATTTGTTTGGCTCTTCTCGAGCGTCTCTTCCCCCTCACTGATCCTACTGAGATAGAAGAGTTGCTGGATGAGCACCTAGCTCAAGGGCTCATAGATTTCATTCTGTGGCAAAGTGCAGATTTCCCTTGCCCCTACGTGCATCATTGGCTTCCCCCCTGATTTCTGTAACCCCTGGAGGAGCCATCGTGTCCTGGCTGGAGCCTGACATTTTCCTGCCCCTGTTCTCTCCTGCCAGTGCAACGCCACGGGCGGGAATTGCTTCTACAAGACCTACTCATCCGGGATGGACGCGCTTCTGGAATGGTACAGGTTTCACTACATGAACATCATGTCCCAGCTGCCAGTCGTAATCAACATTTCTGACCACGAGGAGCAGATAGAAGACATGGTCTATTCCTGTCAGTATGACGGGGAGCCCTGCAGGCGCAGGTACTTTGCTTCCTGAGGTGCTAATTCAGCAGAAAACGAGGGCTGGGGAGACCAGAGCTGAGCCTGCCCTGTGTCCTTGGATCTAACCAAAGGAAAAGGGGGACACTGTGTTGTGGTCAAAGCACGTGACTATTTTTTGGACCCAGAAATCAACATATTCCCAAAACCTACCTCTTGAGGGTGGACACTGTTACCTTGGTACCTGCATTTAGCCAGTTCATCCAGTTCCTTCTTAAGAACTTTTAGAAACTGATGGGATGTGGAGAAAAGTTCAGCATCATCGTGAACATATGATACCACTTCTGAGAAAATGAGAGAGAGAAGCTGTTTCTCCTAGTGATTAGAGCACAGACTTGGTCTTACATTTCAACTGCCTGATGGTAGAACAGGCTGGGGACACTTTAGTAACTGGTGGAGGGAAGAGCAAGTCAAAACTCTGATTTTGAGTCCTATGGCTGTAATGAGTGACGAATCCCCCAGTACCTAAGTTTTTCCTGCCTCTGGTGGATTAGTAGCTCTCTCCCACGGCCATTCCTGTACACAAACACACACATGCACACACCGTTTGTGCTGCAGAGAAAAAGGTATTGCTGCTCCTAATTAAAACCTCTCAAAATCTCTTGTTTTCAGTGACTATGTTCACTTTCACCACCCAGTCTTCGGAAGCTGCTATACTTTCAACAGCAAGGGGACAGACTCCTTTTGGACAGCAACGAAACCGGGAATTCCTTACGGTATGGTGCTTGGAAAAGGCTCAGAAGAGGAGCTGAAGTGAATAGATTTGGTGATGGGTGAAATATGTGTCTGCTGTCGATGACTAACGTGGAGCCCTCTCTCCTAGTTTGTCCTGTATTGCTGTCCTACATGTCCTGTATTTGCTTGCTTCACTAGCCCCATGTATATGATGGCCAAATCAGCTGACTGTATACCTTCACTTATAGCAAAAAAAAAGTATTATTCTCGTTTTAGAGCAGGTTTGTGCACTTACTGCCCAACCACTGCCCAGACCTCTAAGGAGGATCAGTGCCTTTCCTGTGAGCTAGGACAGCAGCATCGATCCCTGCTGAAAAGGCAGGATATTGTTCCTATTTTGACCCCAAATCTGCTGTTTCCTTTGGCTCGCAGGACTTTCTCTGATCCTCAGGGCGGAGCAGAAGGATCACATCCCCCTGTTGGCCACGGTGGCGGGGGTGAAAGTGATGATCCACAACCACAACCAGACGCCGTTCCTGGAGCACGAGGGCTTTGACGTTCGGCCGGGCATCGCCACCACAATTGGCATCCAGCAGGTCAGTCGTGCGGCCGCTGCCTCCCTCTGCCCCACTGCACACAGCTGAGCACGGGGCTGGCTCGGGGCATTTGTGGGGCTCCTGTGGGCAGCAAATCACAAAGTCAGGGGCTGGTTTGTTCCTGCGCAGAGGCTCTTCAACCTTGTGCAGCTGAACGCAGGGTGCTTCGTTGTATGCAGGGATGAGGAGGCATTCAAAAGGGATGGAGCTATTTTGGCCTGAAGAGCTGCTGTTTGTTAGCTCTTTTATGGTGACTAACGTGGTGCTCAGCTGCCGTGCCCTTTCCACCACGTCTGTTTTGTTAGCAAGGAATAACCTGACTGCTCACACTGCATTTCCTGTTCTTTACATGATGTTGAGTTTGGATGGCGATGGCTAAGTCCAATTAAAGCTCCTCATCACCCAGGCCTCTTTTCTGTGTCCACAGGATGAGGTGAATCGCCTGGGTGGCAATTATGGGACATGCACAGCTAATGGCAATGATGTGAATGTCACACTTCTGTACAACAACTCCTACACCCTGCAGGTACTGTTGGAGTGGCTGGCTGAAACGAGCCATACCTTATTCTCCAGAGAGCCTTTACGAATCGGGTTCATTGCTGGAGCCAGCAGAGATTCCTGCTCCTCCCAAAAGCAGCTCACACAAGAGTGTTAGAAATTGGAATCTAGGGAGGAGATGGTCAGGCCTGGAGCCTCCTGCTAACCCGATCTCCCAGCACGACCAGGGTATGAGCTAGAGCGACAGTCAAGGCAGTTGGGCTGTTCCAGAGGGACGTTCGTGGCCTGTCACATATTTATTTTCCTAAGTCCCTGCTCCTGGCTGAGGGTGTTTGGGTGGTTTAACTGAGCTGCTCCTGGGTAGGAAGAAAGAGGGAGATGGAGAAAGTTGTGTCCCACTGAGCTCAGTGGTGTTTCCAGAGGAAAAATCAAGGAGTGAAAAGTGAAAATCTTTATCTTTTGCCCCATCAGTGTCTAGTGATGGCTGCTATCTTCCAGCAGCAGAGAAATCTGTAGGTCCTCTTCTAGCAGCTACATGCTAAGGGCCGAAGTTTTGGACACTTGAGAATTTTTCACTCACTTTTCTGAGGTTTCTTTTTATTTTCCTCTCTCTAGGCCTGTTTGCATTCTTGCTTTCAACACATAATGGTTAGAAAATGTGGCTGTGGTTATTACTACTACCCACTGCCTCCCGGCGCCGAGTACTGTGACTACAACAAGCATCCGGCATGGGGTAAGAGCGAGGAGCCGCCTCGTGTCCCTGCAGGGATCCCCTTCCAGGAACAGGGAATCCCGCCAGTCCAAAGCGGGAGGGAGGAACGGGGCTCCCGGCGCGCTCCGGGCACTGGATTTGGCAGCGCATTCCCAGGGAGGTGGCTGAGCGTTTCTCCCCGTTTCTGCCCCCAGGTCACTGCTTTTACCAGCTGTACAGCAGGCTCAGGAATCACCACCTCAACTGCTTCGATCAGTGTCCCAAGCCGTGTCGGTAGGTCTCAAAAGTAGAGCATGAAAAATGTCATCTTGCAGAGGACTGTGACACCGGTGAAAATGTGAGCAACTTAGTGGCGTATTTGTCAGCCAAACGCATGACTCACTCTGTGCTGGCCTTTGCATGAACCAGAGATGCAGTTTGATGGCTGAACCTGCAATGCTGGGAAAGGGAAAACAGGACAACATTAGGCAAAATTAAACAGGAACTTTGTGTGTGCATGATAGCTGGGAGGGGACAGCTTTGGGGAGTCAGGTGGCAATGTTAAACTCCTTCATTTACTCACTTTTAAATGCCAGAATCGTAGTGACAATCATCCTCATTTTGCCCTGCAGGGAGTCGCTGTACAAAGTGTCTGCTGGAACAGCTAAGTGGCCGTCCGTGAAGTCGCAGGTAGTCCCTCCCAACCCTCTCTGTGTGCAGAGGGAGCCCTGTGTTTAGTTTGGGTTGGAGAATATTAAAGTTAGGTATGAAACCAAGGACTTAAGCAGAACAATGGAAGAAACAAATACAACAAACAGGCCAAAATGTGGGTGCAGGGGAAGGACCCCCCCAGCTAAGATGTCAGGTGAAGATTCAAGGATTCAATTCCAGCTCTAATCCAAACTTCCTTGAGACCTTAAGCAATTCCCCTCCCTGCCAGTGGCATTCATGGCTTTGGGAGGGTGTTGCAGTCTCATCGCTCACTCACTGCCGCTCCTGAGGTTTTACAGGGCTGCAACAGAAACCCTGTGACTCACTGTCCTCCTGCCGCTTCTCATGTTCTCATGCAAAATGGGCTTCCAGGTACACGAGCAGGTGATTAATCCATGTCACACTGCTGATAACATAAATACGAGCAATATCTTTTAAAAGATGAAATGCTGTAGTGAGGTAGCTCTAGCAAGGCAGAGAATTTAAGAGCTATATACTATATGCACCTAAAATATTAGTGCATAAAATATATTGCTGCTCTGGCAAATATTAACACCTGATAACTATCACTGCCACAAGCCAACCAACTACATCCTTTATTGTTATTAACAATAGCCAATATATCGCTTATGAAATCTACTTTTACAATATATTAAAGACTCCCAAATTTTGAAGACAGGATTGCCAGTAACAGGCATCTATTCTGCTGCAGGACTGGGTCCGCCAAGCTCTAAGGCACCAGAATGGATATAACTCTACCAGCAACAGGTTAGTCACTGAGACAAGGTAACAGGTATTCTCTTCTATTAAAATGTGGATTTGAATAGATCTCTTTTTTTTTTCGTCATTTGTGAAATTTAGCTTGTTAAACTGGGAAAGAAGGTACAGGGTCATTCAATAAATTTCCCTTTTAGGGCTTTGAGACTGTCCCTTTTAGCACCTTTTTTAGCATTATTTTCCAAGCTCATGATAAACACCCTCAAGAATAAAATGTGAGTGGTGAAAACTATTGCCCAGCAATCCCTGGCTAAAACCATTGAGGCCGGAATGTCCCCTGCACCTTCCAGCAGTGGCTCCCGTGCAGGCAGCTGCTAACTGCTCCTTTCCCCTGCAGGAAGGACATTGCCAAGGTGACCATCTTCTACCAGCAACTGAACTACAAGTCTGTCAATGAGTCTCCTTTGCTCTCAGTATGTTGCACTAGATCGGATCACAGTATTTGTTACCTTTCATTAATTAACTCATTAATTCACCTAATACAGTGTCTGGTTAGCGGGAGGATGATTTCTAGCCCCGAGGATGGGATAAGAGTTTTCTGCTTAAGGGAGTGACTTGGAAAAGTTCACACTTTACTTAGGGTCACACAGCCTTGGGCCCCGCGTGGCAAGTAGCCAATTGACCTGCTGGTCACACGCGATGATTTCATGTTCCAGAGCTCTGCTGGGTTTGGTGAGCACAGCCCTTCGGTTCTTCCCACAGGTGAATTTGCTGCTGTCCAGCATGGGGAGCCAGTGGAGTCTCTGGTTTGGATCCTCGGTGCTGTCTGTGGTTGAGATGTTTGAGCTCCTCATAGACATGCTGGTCTTGTCCCTGCTCTTCTGCTACCAAAGGGTCAGGTCAAAGAAGACGTTAAAAGTGGCTCGTGCTGCTGCCATCCCCAGCGTGAGTCTGACGCTGCAAAACTACCGCGCGAGGCGCGAGGAGGCTGGGAAAGGCCCCGGGGCTGCTCATGGAGTGACCATTGCCATGGACAACAGCAGCGCCCGGCCCCTGCCGCTGCTCCAGAGGGCTGGGAACGCCAGAGCATTGCCCAGATGTGGGGCTTGAAGCACTTAGATGTGTGAAACGTTGGTTGTTGGAAGGGGAACTAAAGAGGGAGAGGCCACAGGGGCTCCGGTGCTGTCAGAGAGAGGCCACAGATGTGGCCACCTCCAGGCTCCTGAGCACCACGGTGCTGAGCTTGGGAACCCTCCTCCAGCTCTTGCTATTTCATCATTCAGCTGCCGCATGCCCTGCATTTGGGCATAAAGCAACAGCCTTCTCTTAACGGATATATCTGCGGGGGGACCGTAGCTCTGCTGTGCCTGCACACAGGGCTACCCCCAGCTCCGAACCCCGAAACCCTCGGGATGAAGCCAGCCCGTGGCTACCAACAGCCCCGGGGCTGCCAACAGGCCCAACTGCATTTCACAGACAGAGAAAAGTCAGCCCGGCTCCGAGCGGGGCCGGAGGCTGCTCCGGTCTGCGCGGCTCCCTCTGCCCCGGCCCTGCTCCCATTGCACTTGGATGGAACGTTTTTGCTGGAACGTTTTTGCTGGGATACTTTTAGCCCCGATTGTTTCAAATGGGACTCACCAAAATAAGTTAGAGAGAATGGGGTTGAGGACCGATAACTTTTCTTTCTGTCATTGGTGCTACCTGAGTTGTCTGGAGATTCAAATCAAGCTGCATTTTTGCTGCAGTCTCTTTATAGAGGCATATTTTAATGTTAATATTTGACAGTAACTTATGTGTACATAAAATAACAGATTTATTTTGATGGCATTTGTAAGGGAGCATTTTACTCTGTTCTAATCTTATTACAATTTTCTGTGGAAAACAAGAAGTATCAAGAAATCAATGAAGTTTTTTTTTTTGCATCTTTTTAAATAATAAAATGTTCTGGATACTAACAGTGACTGGGGGTTTTATTTGATTCTGTTTTCAGCCAATCTTTGTGTTTGTTATTGCCCTGGAGGGTCACTTTTGCACCCCCAGCCCTCTCATAATGAGATCTAGGATGAAAAGAATGGTGAAATACATGTAAAATTAAAAAAGAAAACCTCCTGTCCTTAGTCTCAGTTCATAGTTATTGTTTGTATGTGAGTTTTTTTAATCCCATCTTTTCCAAAACCAATACATTTCTTTACCTGTACGATATATTACATTTCAGCATGTTATAGTCTATAGTCCTCATTCTGGCACTGCACTTCATTATGTCATGGTGCCTATACCTGTATAGTGCACACATAACCTTTTGTTATTTTTGATAATTTTGACATATTACAATAATAATAATGACAAAAATAATACTGAAAGCCATGCTTTAGAGAAGAATAAAGCTCTCCCAACACCAGGGTGGAGAGCAGGAGCTGGAGAGCTCCCCAGAGAACCGTCTGGGTGCTGATTTCAGCTCCTCAGGTCTCCACGAAATCATCTCTGCAGCTCCCGGTCCATGTTAAAGCGCTCAGTGGCAGAGGTATCTGGAGAGGTGAATTACACAGCAAAATGAGGCCATCTGCCTCTTTCAACTCCAAGGTTTCACAGTGGCTTGGTCAGGAGCAGAGCCCCGTGGCTCTGCGTCGCTCTGGGGCTGTGCCCCGAGGGGCCTTTTTGTCTCCATGATCAGCAAGGAAAGGGAAGCAGGTCCAGAGCAGGCGCAGGCCGCTCTGGAGTCACCTTCGGACCCTGGGGGCATCTCTGGTGGCACAAGAGTAGACACCAGGTCTGCAGCAGGAGCACGTCCCCATGGAGAACATCGTCCCCATGGAGAACATCGTCCCCATGGAGAACATCTTCCGTGAGCAGCTCGTCCCGTCCCCCGTCTCCGGCGTCTCCACCTTTCCGTGCAGGCAGCTCCAAGGAGAAGGTCTCGGCCGCGGGAGGGCCCCGCTATCGGCAGGACTGGCTGAAGTGCAGGCTCCTCCTGTCGAGTTTCTCGGGGTTGTTTGAAGCCATGTGGGAGAACTCGCGGAAGATGTCCAGGTAGGTGGCATCTCCTGCAAAAACACACAGGGAGAGGCATTAGTCCCAGTGTTTTCCCTGCGTCCTGCTTCAGTACCTCTCACTTATGGAGATCGCGGTGGATCAGGCCAATTGCACCCAAGGCTTATGGCTCCCTGAAGATGTGGATGGGAGAAATCAGCTCTACGTGGGAGTCGAGGATAGAGCCAGGAGCCCTGCTCCTTACCTTTGCACTTAGGAGGTGCTGCTTTGCCTTTACATTATTTGTTAGTATGAACAGAATTATTTCTTAACGTGGATGCGTAGATTTTTCTGAAAGACACTTGCTTCCCAAGCAGATTTAGAATAAACTTTTCACACGAGAGAGATGCTTTTGAAGAAGACACGGAGATTGCCTTTGACCAGGAATAAAGATAAATTACTGGTTGTCTTTGGCTTCTCTTCTGGCAGCCAGACTTTCCAGCACACATCGTGGCACAAAAGAGCAGCCTGTTGAAGAGCAGCCTCCAGTGTCCCACACAGCTCCTGTCCCCTCCGGCCATCAGGAGCAGCCAGGACAGGCCCCAGGGGGCAGCTCACCCAGCAGAACAGGCACAGGTCGACGTGAGAGGTAGAAAAACCAATGGAGGGAGGTTGGGGAGCGCGGCCGGAGCGGGTACCAGGGCTCAGGAAGGCGTTTCTGGCCATGCTGGAGCCCATCGCAGAGCAGCACAGCTTGGGCTGGCCTGTAGAACACCCGCTGAGTCCTGCTGCTCCTCAGGGTGACGGGGTTGCAACACGGTCGCCTTTTCCAGCAGTCCCGGCAAGGAGCTGAAGCTCGGGAGGTTTCTTCTGGCAACGCAGACACCGCCGCTCTCCTCCTTGCTTCCCGTTTTGTTCTGGAATCAGTGGGATGATCACAGAGCTCAGGCAAAGCTTAGGCGTTATTTGAAATCCACCACTCTTGCAGAGGTTTGTCCATTCTACGTGTGACAAAATTCACAGTGCCAGGATCTTCCTTCGCTTTTTTATTTGCTGCCACAGCCAAAGGAGATGAAGGGATCCAAGGAAGGAAAGATCACACTGTGCAACTGGGATGGGTGACCCAGCTGCAAGAGGGACTATTCCCACCTCCTTCCACCAGACCTGTCCCCTGCTGAGGTGTGAGGACACCCATATTAACGTATTGAGGTAATCACTATTTTATAGATATTTACCCAGCTTTCTTGCCAAATACACTGAAACACATTGTGCCAAGACAGAGTCACGGAAACCCAATAAAAGTGCCAATTATGCACATGCCCCTCCAGTCCACTCATTAACCCAAATTAAAACCATGAGCTGCAGAGAAAAAGAGAACAGGTTAAAGGAGGACAGTGTTTGAGATCCAGTTAATACAGGCAAGAAGCCCTATGTAAATAAAACAAGCCAGAGAAGAAGGAGAGGAGGAGTTTATCTAGATTTTTATTAACAGTGTTCCAAAGAGACAATAGAAGAGAAATGGAGAAAAAAGGCAGACACCACAGCAACAGTTTTTAAAATTGTACAAAGATAATAACATACAGAATACCTGGTTCCATAGTTACAGTCAGCACAGGCTGTGCAGTGAGAGGGAGAATTAAAAAACGTGTTCCAGGGTTGCACTGAAAGCAGGCAAGTGAAGGGGGTTAATACGTTACAGCGTATTTACAGCAGGTGCCAGCCCCGGCCCGCGTATGCAGCGTGTTCATCAACCACATCCAGCAGCTTGCACTTCACTAAACCATATTTTTCCCTGTGCTGTTTCCATAGGAAGGTGGGGGAGTCTTGGCTTTTATTCCTAATGCCAGCTGGGCTAGACTCGGTCTCCCTGTGGCCACAGAGAGGGTTCCCAGGCCAGGGAACCGTCCATGGGCTCTTGGAGACACAGATGAAGCCAAAGGGAAGGGGTCGGTGCACCTGGAGTGACTGCCTGGCCCTACACGGCCTCACTCACCTCCAGCTCTTCAGACCCAGCCTTAAATTAATGGGAAGACAAAGCTTGGATGAGAGGAAATGGCGGATGGGTTGGGATGGGAATCACATTCCTATGGAAACGGCACTAGCTGGGCCTCTCTCAAACCAACCCCTGCTCTTTGCAGTCGCCCTCTCCCAGCCCGCATCACCCCAGCACACACTCACACTCGCACACGAGTTTGTCTTCAGCTGAGCAGCTATTTAATACCCCGCTTAATCCCTTCCTTCCCTTTTCTCTTTGGTTGAAAGCAAAAATGCCCAGGCAGCAATGAGAGAATTGGGCTCGGGATGATCTAGTCCAGAACAACACAGGAATGGAGCAGTGCACAACAACCACAGCCACTGCACAGGCTGCTGCTCAGTGCATTTCTTTAGGAGATCCCGTTTTGCTCTTGCATAAATAATAGTCATTTTGCTGATGTCTTTTTCATCTATCTTATGCTTACCATGCTCTCAACTAGTCAACCTTGTTCTTTAGACTCATTTCATGTTCCTTCTGCTGACTGCTCAAAGAAATTCCACGCTGCAGAGAACATGCCAAGGATTGCAATATTAAAATAACCTGGGACTGCTCTGGATAACAGTTTGGAAGAGAGAACAATTTTCCAGCCACCCCATCTGAAATCACACACATGTGCCGGACCCTCAAGCTTCCAAATCCCGACCATCTAGCCCAGGAATTCAGTCACAGGGGTTGAGCTTGCTCTGTCATCACTGAAAACAAACTCCAGGTGCTCCCAGCTCCCACCTTGTAACCACACACACACACCCCAACCCAAAATATAAATCAACACAGAAAACAGCAAGAAGCACCTCCTTAGCATTTTTTTTTTCCTGGAGATTTTTTTTTGTTTTAAAAACTGCAGGATGTACTAAAGTGTTCTATTATATTTCAAACTAGACACATTTAATGCCTTATGATCTGCATCACAAAAAAGAGAAAAAATGGGGGATATGGAAAGGAAAAGGAAAGGGGAGAACAAACAGATTTGGGGAAAAAAAAGTCCCTAACAATGTTACAAAAAAAAATTCCTGACATTAAATACAGCCAAATTGCATTGAATAAAAATTGCACTAGTCCTCTGGGCGTATCAATAATAAATTAAATACATAACAATTTCACTGATTAAAAAAGTCAGCACAAAATCCATAACAGAACATACCCCCCCAATACTGTAAGTAGGAAAAGTGCACAAAGTTGTTTTATACATTGAATCTAAATAAAGTACCAATACATATTAAATAGATAAATTGTCTTGCAAAACACTGCTTTTTGCATTTGTATTTACATATGCTTTAAATGCATGTACTTCAGCAGTGCAAGAGTCTGAGCTTCAATGCAGCAAACTATACATGATTTTTATATTCTTCTCATGAGTCACCGATGCTGTGAAATAAAACAGGCCGAAGTGGAAACCTTTTTTGCTTCCCGTTCCCAGGGGTACAGGAAGGATCAGTCACACTGCTCACTTCTCGTAGGAAATTGGAAAACCAGTTGGGGTGTTTTAAGTTGCTGGGCAAGAGAAAAGCTGTGAGACAAGCACCACATCTGAACTGATCACCCCAGAACAGGAGCGTGGCTGTGCTGAAACGTTTCTATCACTCCAAGGTCCCTAAAGTCCCTAAATGATGCCAGGGCTGGTTAAGTGTGGCCCTTGCTCTGGGGATGGGCATGGCTTGAGGGGAACCACATCAGCACTGACTTGATGCACATGGGTATAAAATGGGGTAGTTTTGACCAGAATTGAGCACAGAAGGGTGTTTAGTTCCTACCTTGGGGACGCAGCCAATTCTTGGCTGCAAATTGCTCCCTGTCCTGGGCTTCTGGGTGCTTCAGGGTGGCTCTCGAGCAGTCCCTCTGAAGGCAGACACACGCTGAAGGGCTTTGCTGCAGGGCCCCATGCTCAGCACCACATCCCATTCCACTGAGAGGGCATCCAAGACCATCCTAGCTCTGCAGAGCGCTGCCACAGGGCTGATTTGGAGGACTAGGGACACCAAACAAGGCAGAACTTGGACCAGAAAGAAGACAGAAGCCCAGTGCAATGGCCTGCAAGGCCAGGCTCTGCAAGAACACGTGGCAGCTGCCTCGGGGGATCTGCTGCAGGACACACTGAGCGGGCAGTGAGATGACTCCAGAGTCAGAGGGCTTGGAAAGAGCCGAGTGGTGGAGCAGACACAGCGAGAGGCGTTCCTGAAGCTGAAGAGGCTGACAGGGCTCTAACAGGGCTGAGCTCATTCACTTTGGATTTTCTAAGATGGGTGGAAGAAGATTGTTTTGGGATTAAAGAAAGGCCCTGGGGCCAGATCCTGTGCTGCCAGCCATCAGGAGCAATTTCGGAGCAGTCACTAGGGCTATTGCAGATTGATGACGGTTGGAACTGAAATCAGAACTTAGCTCCAGAGGGAAAAGGCATGAGAAAGCCAAAAGGCCCAGATAAGAGAACCAGATTGCACAGACAAAAAAAAAAAAAAAAAAAAAAAAAAAAAAAAAGGTGGTTTGTATGCAGCAAAATCTGGGGCAGCAGCTCCCTGAGGAAGCAGGGACTCTCCCTTGAACTGAGGGACACTAACTGAGTCCAAGTGGAGCTTCTCTGCTGTTTGATTTTTAGACATGTTGGTCCAAGTACTGTTGTTCAGCATCTGCGGGCAGAATTATACCAGTAGAAATAAACTCACAGAGTAGTCTAAGTGTACCAAGGGTTGCAGCATGACAGCAACCAGTGGAAAAAAAGTGAAGGAGACAAAGATATATAGGATGAAAAATGACTATCACTACTGCTATAACACAGAGGGATTGGGAACTCTGCCTCCTGACCTGTGTTCCTAGCAAGGGTCTGATCCCGCCAGATTCCAGCATTTCCTGTAAGGCACTGTGGCCCAGGCCAGAGCCAGCAGCCAAAGCAGGAGCAAATGCCAGTTGCAGACTGCCCTCCACAAGCTGGGAAGAACTCGGATGTCAACAGCAGCTGACGGCATCCAGAAGGGACTCCCATGGGAGCACATCTCAGCGTGGCACCCACATTCCCAGCCCAAGGGAATTTGCTCTGCGAGTCCTCCTAAGAGAGGACCACGAGGTTGCAGCATCTCTGCACAGCTACTGCAACGTGACTCCTGAAATACTGACTATAAAAATAGCAACAAAGTGCTCTGAGGAGAAATATATTCCCCTACTCCAGGGAAGGGGGAAATAAAAAGAAGGTTTTGCTGGTCATTGGATTCAGGAAACTCCAGATTCCCGGGCCAGCTGCCGAGATGCCCTAGTCCTATGTTTCAGCATGCAGGGCTACACGCGGAGGGGATACACATGCAAGCAGAAGTCTCCACAGAGATGCTAAGTCTGAAATCTGAAGTGACCAGAAAACAAACTGAACCAAACTCAACCCGTGTGTTTTGGGTGGGAACTGGGGCTTGGCTTTTATTCCTGACGCAAGGCCCATCGCCAGCGACAAGCTTCTCCCAGCCTCAAAGAGTTGGCCTTGCTGCTTTGATAGCAGCGTGCTGATCCCATCCCATCCCAGTGGGAAGCAGGTGAGCTATGGCTTGGAGCAGCTAGCCACCACGGGCCCCAGAGAACGGAAGCGTGGCTGGTAGAGACCTGAGAGCACACGAGGTGGGTGCCATCGCTCTCAACCCTTCCCTTGGCCTTCTGGAGCAAAGGCCCCACAAAACAGACTGTTCCTGGCTTAGAGGTCATAGTTTCCTTTTCTAAAGTGGCCCCAGCAGCTTCTAAGTGTTGCAGCAGCCCCAGGCTGCTGGTCACGCTGCCAGGAGGGCTCCTGGACAGATTCCCTTCCAGGACAACTGTTCAGACAAGAAATCAGTGCATAGTAACTACACTGCAGCAGAAACGTGACAGGTTGGTCTGATCATATTGTTGGTGGATTTCTCCTTGTGATAGAGGGTTTCCTTTTTCTTCTCTTTTTCTCTCTTTTTTTTTGTGCTGAGCTCTGGTCTTACATACTTACAACACACACAAGTCCACATGCCATGGTCTGTGGTTATGCCCTAAGACTCCTACATGAAATCAACTATCCAGTAGTCAAGCATGGTAACTTCATGCTAACAGGAAAGGTCCTTTCTCCTTCCTGTGTGGATCTCAACCTATATGTGCAGGCAGTAAAGACAGACCAATCTGCAAGAAACACCAATATACCAAGGGTAGGGCTCACAAGGCTTCTAGAAATCCAGCCCAACTTGAAGATGGCAGAGGGGAGGTGGGGGAGTCGTCACTAACACTCATCTATGTTAAGGCTGATGAACTCCTGTATACATTTCCTGTACTGGAGCTCAGTAGGGCTGTTGCTGGGGTATTGACCTGGTTGTCCGAAGGGGCCCTCTGCTTCTCGCATCTCCTCATTCATTCGAGCCAGACGCAGCCTACGGTGAAACAGAGGAAGGGAAGAGACTTGGTTATTCCTTCCTCTGGGCTGTTTTCAGGCAGTGTTCCTGCATCCAGACACCAGGGAGCCCAGGCTGCACTTACAAGGTAACTATATCTGCATTTGCTGCCTGGACTGCGATGCTGAGTGGGTCCTGCCCATCGCCATCCACTGCATGCTGATTTGCTCCTCGCTTCAGGAACAAGCAGACCTGACTGAAGGGAAAGACAAGACCATCAGAGCAGAAATCCACATGGTACAACCCTAATGCTGGTGCTGGTAGAAGGCACTGCTCTTTCCTGGGCAAGCACAGCTCTCCTTGCCTGGGAAGGATCCCCCTCTGAAGTGATTATGGGGATGAAAAAAATAGTAGACCTGTCAAATCTATTCATCTCTTGTACCCCTTTAAAACAGGAATGACTTCACTGGAACCCTTCATCTTCAGCCCCTGGTGACAGGGCATAAAGCAGCCTATGAAGGAACTTACCCTGTGTGGCCCAGATACGTGGCATGGTGCAAAGGAGCGCGGCCCCGGCTGGCTCTTTGGTTAACATCTGCACCATTCTGCATCAGGAATTCACAGGCTATTAAAGAACCCTGAGAAGATAAAGGGGAATTTCTAAGTAAATTCAGACAGAGGTACTAAGAAGACACATAAACACGTACCATGCCCACGGTGTACTTGGAAGTGGGCTCACACTCTCACACTCCCAAATACAGCACCCTAGGCACAGCCACCATCACAACCTACCCCCATCACAGCTTGAATCAGGGGAGTTTTGTTTTCATCTTCATCGTTCACCCAGTTGACCTCAGCACCATGTGCCAGCGCTTCTGCCATGAGAGGCAGGTTTCGAGCTTGTGCTGCCTTGTAAATCAGCAAGCCAGGATGAAGTTCCCTCAGGTCCTCCAAATCTGATGCTTCCTGTTCGATCTCTGCCTCACCGCTTGACTCTTCAGACACCTCGCACTCTGAGAGCGAGAAAGGGATGGGGAGACATCACCCAAAACGTTGGCATTTCCCTGGGATCCTTTTCTTGGCACCAGGTGGGTCTGACCATCTGTCTGGCCTCCACCCGAGCTGCCACCCACCTTCCTCCGTCACGCTGTCCACCACGGACCCGAATACCAGGATATCGGTGCTGCCGTCGGTGCTGCCTCCGAGGCCACTGTCGCTGCTCAAACCTGCAGGGCCAACAGAAGACAAACAAAGAGCATTTTAATACGCAGGCGACCAGCAGCGGGTGAGGCAGCAAAGGGGAAGAGCTCTGCAGTGGCTCGGACATCGCGCTGCTACCCCAGCTAGTCCCACTCAAAGCTTCAAGGAAAATCTGCAACATCTGATGGTGCCCGTGACCTTACCCTTGCCTTCATGCAGGGCCGCGCCGTCACTGCCATGAGGCTACGGACCCTTGAGAAGGGCATTTGCCAAGACCTATGAGATGCTGTGAAGGAGACTGGAGCAGAGCAGCAGCAGAGACAGCTTTGCAGCAGGTTAGACAGTGTCAGAATCAAATCAAGACACCCCTCTGTTTTTACCAATAATAATCCCTACTTCCCCTCTTTTCAAGCTCTCCCAGAGCTTTTCAGTTGTCACAGGCCACACGCCAACACATGTGGTAGATTATTGCCCATGCCTGGGCCAAGTCATGTCTGTAGTGAATATTTCATGCCAAACTCCTCAGGTCCATCCCCTTTCCCCAGTGTGCTTCCCATCTTCCATGCCACGCTGGCAGATGCTGCAAAGCTGTTGACTGCAGGTAAGAAATAGCCAAAGAGATGAGGCAACTTGACCAAGGACACACGCTGTGTCAGCAGCTTCGTATGTTTTCCATTTGCACCCAGAAACAACCACCAAAAAAAAAAGAGGAGGAAAGGTGACAGAAGAGAAGTATGCATGAGACTTGGTCCTGTTGGAATGGGGATAACATGTTACCTTGGTCCTGACAGGGATTCTCAGCTGCG